TATATATATATATATTCGGTGTGAAAATAACACGCGTAGAAGCAGAGAGGGCAGGGGCAGGGTCCGGTGAAGCTTCTGGGAAGAGAGTGGAGAGGAGAGGAGAGAGGAGAGAGAGAAGGTGAACGCTCGCCCCTGAGCCGCGTGTGTCGGGGGTTGCGAGCCGTGTCAGGATCGAAGGGGGGGGGAGAGGCGCACCGGGGGAAGGACGCCGGGCGTCGCGGCGCAGGCTGCCGCACCCAGCAAAGCGCCTGCTCCCCTTGAACCGGCAAAACCGTATATACCTGACGCAACCGTGGAGGAGACGGCGACGAGTACGCGCGTCGCTCCCGAGACACGCTGTTGCTAGGCGCGCTCGTTTTCGGTGCTTCCATTCCTCCCTTCCCTTCCGTAACCCTCGCCGACCGCATCCGCTTCCGTTCCGCCAAGGTCAACGCCGACTTATCCCCCCCCCCCCCCGCTTCCTATCGTACCCGGGAAAACCAAGTTTTCCTTCCTTCCTTCTTCCCTGCTATATATGTATATATATATATATATATCTTCGTATGCGTGCGTGTGCGTGTGTCATCGAGAACCGCTGCCACTTGGTGCTTTCGTTCGGGCCGGTCGTCGTGTCCCGACACGCGGAGATTCGCAGAGGAGAGAAGTGAAAGAGGGAGAGGCGTAACTGGGTGAGGAGGTGTCCGCAAAGGACGAGCGAAACCCGTCGTCGTGGTGTTTTGGGACGTGTGCACGGGAGGAATCGGCACGTATGGGGCAGGAAGTGGCTCAAGTAGAAACTAGTAGTGGGTGGGTGACGAGAGGAGAGGAGAGGAAGATTTCGAAGCGGCGTGTCAAGGTTGCACGACCTTGATTCGGTCAGCGACACAGGCAGCAGCACGACGGATACGCTTTGCAAAATCGGGCGCAGATTCGAATTTTGCACGCGTATAATCCCTTCGAATTTTCTTAAAATTCTCCTCTTCTTTCTTCCTCTTCTTCCTATAGATGTAGATCGATTTTTGTCGTTGTTATTATTATTGTTGCACGTTTCTTGCCTTCGAAATTTTGTTTTCGATTATTTCGCTTATTTTTATATAAGTTTCGTCCCTCTCATTGGATCGATTCGATAACCGTTTCGATTTCCCTCGATCCTGTGGATTATTTCATCGCGCGCTTCGTCTATTACAGCGCACGCATACATGCACGCTTTTGAGGAGAGGAACGTTTAACACGGAGGAACCGTTTAGGAAGCTCGCCTTAGGTTAATTACCGTACCAACGGGAATAACACTGCGGTGGTCGGACTCTGCGGAGACTGCAGACAGACGTGGGTGGTGTCCATCTTGAAATAGATCGTATACCTTGCCGGGAGTCGTGCCGATGTTGTTTTCCTTTTTTTTCGCAACAATCTCGTACCTTTTCGAACTTCAACACGAGTATCGAAAATATTTTTCGAAAGTTTCGATCTTCATCAACGAGCGCCAGCTTCGTTGTGCTCGCTTCGTTTTTGCTGGAATTCACGCGGCCAAATCGCAGCACCTGCAGTCCTGATTTATTTATTAGGCGGCGGCTTTGAGACAGATTACCGCACAAGTTACCTCGTCGTGGCACGCGCGAGGATCCTTATCGGTTTTACATTAGAATATTGGTCGCAACAATCAATTGAAAAGCAATCGTATTGCTATCCTTCCTTCGAGTTTTCCGCTTTTCTTCCTGTTCACGTTTGAAAACGATTATCCCTAGAAAGGAAAGGCAGAAGAATCGAAATGGTCGATGATTGCACAAGAGAGTGGTTTTAAAACCGACGGAATTGTGGACGTTCAAAAATTTTCGAACTTTTTATATTCGGTGTGCGTGTGTTTCCAACGGCGATATCGATTCGAAAGTGGAGATATAGCGAATGCACCGGAAAAGGAAGAAACATTGGTGGTGAACGAGGAAGTAATTGAATAGGAAGCAGCCTCGTGTCCTCCCAACGCGCGTTTTAAATCGTATATGTGACCGTTCTTCCTCCAGAAATTTGTGCTTTGCGTTGCTTTTTTTTTTTGTCGCCTGGTGCGATAAGATCGAGTGCAAACAAGCAACAGTGAAAGAAGAAACTTACGTTCTAGAATAGAAAAGTTTCACCCGATTGTGCGCCGATGAAAACAGTGACTAGTGGTGGGTGATGATCAGTGGGCCCACCGTTTCGAATGAAGTGGTTTTAGGATGATGGTGGAGCGTGTCGAGGACCATCTCTTCATGTATCGACGTCCCGTTTACCGGGTCTTCCAGTACCTCGAAACCACCGAGTAAGTAAAATAAAAAGAAAAAAAAGGAGAGAGAGAAACACGCGATTATCCAGTTTATCTAATCGATACTGAGAGACAAGTGGAAAAAACGGCCGACAAAGGGTATAGGTAAAAAGATGAAATCGCGTTTCTCTCAACGAATCGAATCTCCATAATAACGCGCATGAAAGGGTTTTTGAAAAGTTTGGCCGGAAGGTTTTCCGGGTTGTCTCTCCTTAGATGTGGTGGATATCCAGCTGTTAGAATCTCGAGGACCGCGAAACAGCCGTTTAAACAAAAGGGATTGACTCGTTTGAAGAGCACGCCCAATGGCAATTTGCGTGCATAAAGGCTTTGAGAGAGAGAGAGAAAAAGAGAGAATTTCTCTCTTTCGATTCGCGAATGAAGGAAAATGCCGCGAGGGAAGTTCGATTGTTGGATGCGAAGAGAGAGAGGAGGGGGGGAGAAAGAGAGAGAGAGAATGGAGAAGTAGTTCGCGCGAAAACGGATTCTTCCTTTCGTGTTACGTCGATGAGAACGAGTAAAATTATCACGAGAATGGTAAAATTATCACGAGATCGGTTCCACTTTGCTAATTATTTTTATTGAACTAAGCTCGAATAACATGATTCGTTACGGTGGCAAATTTTCTCGTCCCCTTTCTCGGAGATTGAATTATCCACTATGTTCAAGTCTCAATAGTTCTCTTTCCGATAGAAAAAGATTCGTGCTCGATCAAATAAGTGGATATTATTATTACTTATTCGCGGTACAGTTAGGGAAAAAGTTATACATAGTTAGAAAAGTGTTGAAAATGAGAAAAGTTTAAGAGAAAAAGTTCGGAAAGACGTCTGCGACGATTCGACGATAGCTTAAACACCGATAGATACGTATTGTTCACTGGAAAGAAGTCTCATGGAAAGGATACAGGTTCCGATTGGTTAATTTGGAAGGACACGCCTACTTTCACACGTATTTTTGTTTCTACCATGGTATTTGTCACACATACTAATTCAAAACGACGATCTGTATCTAAACCTTGATGCATTAGCGTAGACATAGAATCCAGAGAATTCTAACGTATATAAAAATTTCTTTATTTCTCATAATATTTGTGTAGATTTGTAACGATAATTTAATTTATAAATGTAATTTTTTATTCGAGTTGTTAAGATAATAATTGAATAAGTTAGACATAGATATTAATATAGATATTAATATTACATTAAAATAATTAATAGTTTCGAAAATATTTCAACTCTTAGATGATTATCGTGTTAACGTAACTTCATAAATGAAAATAATTTTTTTACGATTTTGAATTGAATATTCGAATTATATCTTTTCTACTACTATGTTAGGATTGTCAACAAAGCGTCTGAAGTGGGGATAGGTGATCTAGCGAAGGACTTCTCTTTCCTCTGTGTCGTCCTCTGAGACTTTTTTCTAACAGTGAACAGAAGCTATATCTACGTTTTATCTCTCGTCCGATCCGATATTCTTTTGTGGAAAAACTAAAAGCAGGATCTTTGGGAACTTTGAAATGAAAAGAGCGTATTGTTAAACTCGAAAATTTCATTATTCAAGAAGATTCGATCGAAGTTCAACGAACCTTTAAATTATAATTTTAGATCCAATGTCTGGATATAATATTTTCCTGACGAGAGAACGTCGAGTTTTAATTTTACAGTGAATTACTTAATTTTCTAGAATTGTAATACTAAAAATCGATTGCTCTAACAAGAATTTTCGTATTTAATGAAACACGATCATTTCGAAAACAAGTTGAAAACGAGCTTGACTGGGTGAAAGCTTATCTCTGCTACTTCTCTACTTTATACTTTATACTACTTATTACTTGATATATTTTCCGTATGATTGACGAGATTCTTGCCACTATAGAAATTCAAAATTTAATTAAATTAAATTCCAAAAATTAATTAGAAAGGAAAGCGACTTTCGAAAGATGTGATATAGATACATTTTTTATGCACATTCCATACATCAATCGATATATATATATCATACATCTGTATTACGCAATGTATGATGTAAATTATATTTCGATGTAATAGTACGTTAACCAATACATTCCGCATTCTTAATCTTTCATCTTTCGCCTAAATGTCATTAAACACCGGTAGCTCATTATCATTGCGAACCTTTCACGCCGCAACTCGATCGTGTTGCGAGACCCGATATTTTGCATTTCTCCTATCCCCCATTTCCCGTCCCGTCCAAATAAATCCGAAAAATTAGTTTAATTTTCTCATTTCCGATCCCGGTTAGTCGACCGGGGGTTAATCGAAACGGAAATGAAAGGTAAAAAAACCGGGAAAGGATCGGAAAGTTTTGGAAGATAGCGGAACGATCGAACGTCTCCAGGCAGTCTGTTCGCGCCGACACGCGAAACAACTCGATCGCCATTCCGTTTATTTACGCCGTAGGAATTGCGGTAACCGTGGCGATTTTTCACCGACGTCCCACGCGGCGTCGAAGCCGTGGTGAAACAGAGAGGAAAGAAAGAACAGCCGGTCGGAGAACGGGGGGGATTGGATCGATCAGTTTCTGGTTGACGCGCGACGTCGAGACACCAAGAGCGTGCAAAGCGTTGTGTTCGAGTAAATTGGTTTTCTCCTCGAGGGGGGGGCGGGTGGATCGCGGAAGAAAAGGCGCGGGAAACGAGAGAGGGAAGAGCGGAATTCGCGTTTTTTCGTCTTCGCATCGAAAACTATCCGAGCGGCGGATGGGAGGGGAGGTGGAGGAAGCAGCCACCGCGAAATTAAAATACATACGCCATGTCCGTTCCTCGCCTCTCCTCGTGCTGTAGCTGTAGCCCGAGCATAAGGCTTAAAACCACCCCGGCCAGATGTAATTCAATTTGGTAAAACGAGACCCATGCGATCGTTTCGACACGGCGTCTCGATTCGCTTTGCATCGATCACGAGAGAATCGAGTGGACACGGTGTTGTGCGCTTCGAAGGAATCGAATTACCGGTGGATGAAGGAAAGCGGAGAGGAAACGGATACCCGGACAACGACTATGACTATCGGGGATCGATCGAGCAAATTTTCTTTAATCGTTATTCGTCTCGATCGGTAGACGATTTTTCCCTCCCCTCCTCCTCTCCCCCCCCAAATATTTAGGAATAAAGAAGGGGATAATGTTGGAACTGGTGGAGCGAAAGACCGGCGGGATCTCGTGGCCGAGTTGTCGAGGCGAAAACTTGGAATCGGTGGGCAAAGATCCGAAGGAGATGTTGTTTCTCGGGCAAAGGGACAAAGTTTGTCCGAGGGGGGGGAAACGATGGAAGAGAAAGAGCGGGGGAGGCGGTTTACTGTGCTCGTTGGGCCAGCTGAGATGCAACCACACCTACTACACCCCTGACACGTTGGGCACGTGGAAATTTCACAGGGTGTCTCGTCCGAGAAGGTAAAAATCGAAACGCGATAATATTTTCAAAGCGAAGTAGGGAATGGAAACGAGGAAGCGAGGACCGCGAGTTTTCGCAGCTCGCGTAACGAAGTAAGCAAAGGTAAGCGAGCCTCGTTACGCGGCTGTGACGATGCAAGGAGCGCAATAGAGAAAGTAATAGTGAAAGGTAAAGTGCGTGGGCGACAGTCGCAGGTGCGTGGTGGTTCCGATCACGGCGAGTCGAGCCGAGCCGAGCCGGTCCGTGTCGGGTCAGGGACAAGCTTCATCTACCCCTCCTCTCTCTCTCTCTCCTTTCTTTTTCTCAACTTTTTCTCCACCGCTGCTTCTTTTTTTCTTTTACCTTTACACCCTTCGTCAATAGAAACGAGAGTCGAGGGTTTCGTTCTCCCTGGAAAACACGATCGAGACTCGTCCCCTCGTTTTCTCCTTTAGCTTCTACAGAAAGAGGTTAGAAAGTCTTTGTTGCGTCAAACAAAGATATATCGGTAAGTGGCGAAGATTTCGATCGATTTTGGCGCGCAATTAACGAGGTTGGAAGATATTTAATATCGTCGCGCACAATTGAATTAATTTCGCCCGATTTAGCCAGCCAGCGAAGACGAATAGTCCACGGGAAATGAATATTGATCGCGTGTTCCGAAAACTGGTCACGTGTCCCTCGTTACATCTCGTTTTCAAAGATTGCCACCTCTTCTCGCGACGGCAACATCGCGCCAATAATGCTGTTTGACAATTAATCAACCACGCCGGTTGCACAACTTGTTTACTTCGTTACTTCGACCTGCTTCGTTCTGCTTCGTTAAAAAAAATCTCTGTGTGGAACGGGATTGCACGCGCGTAGTTGCAATGGGCAAAGTCGAATAGCCGGTGGTTCCCTGCGTAAACGTCTCGTCCCTGACCGACGACGGCATTCCTTAGCCGGACGACGCTCGTAATATACATTTGCATTAATAGCACACGATGCGAGCACACGGCTCGTCAACTTTTCGAGCAAAGAGGAGGCCAGAGACGATTTCGAGCGATGCGACGATGTTGCCATTCAGTCCCGCAGGGATCCTCAATGTGTTTTTCAATGCCCTCCTTTCATCGCTCGGAATTGAAATAATCTTAATAACACAACAACAAAAGTAGGAACAAAAGTCCATCTCCGGTCGAAACACCAACTCCTTTCTTGAATTCCTTCTCGTTCTCTCAGGGATGCACGCGACTCGAGCACAGTGAATTGATAACTATGCGAGTGGAAAGGGAAGAAGTAGGCGCGCGCGTATACACGTTACTTAAACACGTGCGCAGTCTCCTTTTCACAACTTTTCGCCGGCGTTTCGTTCGCGCTACGCGAAATTTCTATACGCGGCAACAGTGCATAATCTATCCTCGCCATCGCTGGATAGGTTTAGGAGGGAAAAGAAGGAGAGAAAATTTTTCTTTCTCGACCGACGGGAACCACGATCCACTAATTTATCGTTTTTATCTGACGTTTTGTTAGCTCATCCTATAGAGTCATCGGTGAAACCTTTCTCCGGAAAAATGTGGACGATACGCGTCTATACGTGCCGATTCATCGACGAGGCTCGCATGATTCAATATGACCATGGATACGGAGCAAGTTATCGTGCAAATTTTAATCTGTTAACGATAAGAATTGAAACTCGTCAAAGCGTCTAGTCGTTTCTCATCCATTTCCGAGAGTGAAATCTCGGGAAAAACCGGGTCTCTCCCCCTCAACGAAAATGGTAATTAACGAATGTATCGCGAGTATAATTTTATGTTTTTGTAACGCGCGAGGAACAGCTGCGTACGATCGTATTTATAATTGTTCCGCGTAAGTATATTGTGCGTGCCCCTCCTCTCTCTCTCTCTCTCTCTTTCTCCCATGGATGGACGACGGAATAGCGAAGATTGAAATTTCTCTTAATGAAATTACTCGTCGTCGTTCGTTTTGCAATTGCTGTTACTCGGCTATCGGGCGAGATTTACTACGAGATGACGATTGTGGTAACGGTCATTTTTCCTTTTCGCGTAGCCATGAGGGGATGAGCACTGGCGTAGGAGATGGAGCTGGTGGAGGCGGTGGCGGTGGGGGCGGAGGCGGCGGCGGCGTGCAAGGAAGTGGAGGCGGAAGAAACACACCACCCCATGGATCACCCACCCCCATGGACAAGGCGACTTTGAAGGTCCATCTGCCCAACGGTAACGCTCTCCCTCCTCCTCTCTCCCTCGAGTGAAACGATAATCAAAGTGATCGAAGCATTTTTTTTTCGAGAGAGAATTGCTTTAAGCAAGTACTATATATATTATTCGACGATTCGATCGGTTTTTAGGTGGTTTCAATGTTGTTAAATTCGGTGACGCGATCGATGTGAAGGGTATCATCACTTTGGTGACTAGTCGGCTAGCGGTTGGAACCAGACATTATCGTAACCTTTACGCCATGAGACTGCATCATCCTGGATCGGGGGAGAGTTACTGGTTGCATCAGGACACGACCATGTATCAGGTATTTTTTTTTTTCTTTTCGAAATTTAACGCGAATAATTGTTGTTCGTATTATTATTATTATTATTATTATAATCAAGGTTCAAGAAAAGTATGAAAAGAAACACCCTCATTGCGAGTGGAGGTACGAGCTGAGAGTACGATACTTGCCGCAGAATCTCAACGATCTGTACGAGAAGGACAAAGTGACCTTCTATTATTATTACGATCAGGTATCTTCTTCGAAATCTATTTTTATATTTTCTAATATATATATATATACGTAGTTGAACGAATATAAATCAAATTGTTTGTATTGTAGGTTCGGAACGATTATCTGTGCGCGAATCACGCGGCTCTCGATCAGGACGTGGCGGTGCAACTGTGCTGTCTAGAAATTCGCTACTTTTTCAAAGACATGCAGCAGATCGCCCTCGACAAGAAGAGCAACCTCGAGTACCTGGAACGAGAGGTATGGAAAAAAGAAAAAAAGCTTTTCGAAATTTTTTGATTTTTTTCCCAAAATATTCGTCACACGTTCGATTCACAGGTCGGCCTGCACAAGTTTTTACCACGATCCGTGTTGAATGGAATGAAACCAAAGGCGTTGCGCAAGCTAATACAGCAACACTTTAAAAAGGTTGCGGTATTGTCGGAGCTAGAATGCATGTTCAAGTTCTTCGATCTTCTGCGTGCTCATTACAGATTCGATCAGGAGAGGTTTATATGCGCTTTGGGGGTGAGATTTTGCTCTGATTCAAATTTCAAAAATGAATTCATTTCCTTCTTTAAACGTTGTTTAAACTTTCTTTTTTTCTCACGACAGTCGAGCTGGTCTATACCCGTAGAACTAGTCATTGGACCAGATTTAGGCATATCTTATATGGCTCATAGAGGTGGGACGGTGGTCAGTATTTAAGCTTTCCTCTAAAACAACTTTACGTGTTTTGTTCTTTCGTGTCATCGTACGAATCTTTTGTAGCCAACGAGAATCGCGGAATTCTCCCAGATACAATCTATCCAAACGCTGGTATCCGATTGCAAGGAGCACGCAAAAGCGTGTATTAAATTAAGAATAGCCGGAGCTGCTGAAACGCTTAGCATCACGTGCTCGAGTCTGGACCAAGCGGAAAGTCTCGCTGATTTAATCGATGGATATTGCAGACTCATCACCGGAACCAATACCTCGTTGTGGAACAGAAAAGGTACGTGTGCACAAGAGTAGCACTTTGCTCGAAATATTTAAGCAGCCATAAAGAGACGGGCATGCTTCGTGAATAAATTATTTTCGTATTTTTTTTTTTTTTTTTTTCTTATTCTCCTTTTAAAACGGACAATTTCGATGTTGATGCTAACGAACGTTCTTCCTTTAGCTTTTCTCGATATTCGTGATAGTGTGACTCGAACAGAGAGACTTGTTTTGTTTACATTTAACATTTAGCTCCATTGTATTTTTACAATATCAATCATATATATATTTCACTTTCCAAATATCTCGCACGAATCTCCCTCTTCTCTCTCTCTCTCTCTCTCTTTTTCTTTTATGTTATACGAAAGATACTAAGTTATATAATCGTTTACACTTCCAAGCTGCATCGTGGAAAAATTATCCCTGTCCATGCAAAGGTTTGTAGTTTTGAATGACCCCGGTTTACCGTAGTTTACCATTTTATCTTTAGAATAATTTGCACGACGAGTTTGAACGACGTTCATTCGCGATTATTGATCGTATCCCTCGCTTTCAAATAGATGCTCATCCCCCAAAATACAGGCAAGACGGTTCCAATAGTCCGGAGAAAAACGTGAGCAAAACGGGGACCATCTTGTCGGAGGACTACGCTGAAATCGTGGACGAGGAAGGAGATTATTCGACTCCGGCTAGTGAGTATTATATATATATAAAAAAAAAAAAGAAGAAAGGATGAAATAGAGGAAGAGATTATTTTTGCATTTTGTAACGAAAAAAAAAAAAAAAGAAAAAGTTAAACTTTTTGGCCCTTGATTGAATTTTTCAGCCAGAGATTACGAGATAGTTAGGAATCAAGTGGAATTGGGTGAGATTATCGGAGAGGGCCAATTTGGCAATGTACATAAAGGTTCATACAAAGGGCGGGACAATCAAGTTATACCCGTGGCGGTGAAAACCTGTAAAGTCGATGCAGATCTCGCGACGTCGGAAAAATTTCTCGAGGAAGCATGTAAAGAAATTTTAATCTGCTCGTATTCGAATTCGAGATCGATAAAAAAAAAGCTTGAATCATCGATCTTTGATGTACACATGTACACGTTTAATTTCAGATATAATGCAACAATTCGAGCATCCTCATATTATAAGACTTATCGGTGTATGCTCGGAACCACCCATTTGGTTGGTAATGGAATTGGCCAAATTGGGAGAGATGCGAGCCTATCTGCAATCGAACAAGCATCGCCTAGATCTCGCCACCCTTCTGCTTTACACGTTTCAATTGAGCACTGCCTTATCGTATCTCGAAAGCAAGAAATTTGTCCATAGGTACTTTTCATTAAAATTATCGAAATTATCGATCCAAGAGAATTTTCTAATAATTATATATATATTTCTTCATCGATTTATTTTCACAGGGACATTGCTGCGAGAAACGTGCTAGTTTCTGCCCACAATTCCGTAAAATTAGCTGATTTTGGTCTCAGTAGGTGGGTGGAAGATCAAAGTTATTATACAGCAAGTAGGTGTAAGTTGCCCATTAAATGGATGGCACCTGAGAGTATTAATTTTAGAAGATTTACTACATCTTCTGACGTTTGGATGTTTGGTAGATATATATATATATATTATTTTTTTTTTCTACAACTTTAATATTCCATAAATGTGAAGCATTAACTTTTTTTTTTTTTTTATTCTTCCAGGTGTGTGCATGTGGGAAATCTTAATGTTAGGCGTAAAACCGTTTCAAGGTGTAAAAAATAACGAAGTGATCCGTAAGCTAGAAAACGGAGAAAGACTTGCTTTACCGAATCATTGCCCACCACGATTATATTCTTTGATGTCTCAGTGTTGGAGTTACGAACCCAGTAAACGGCCAACGTTCAAAGAGATCAGAGAAACGTTACAGTACGTGCACTTTCATCTTGTTCTTTGTCGATTCGATCTCTTTTTGTCCCATTACGAAATCAATTTAACTGAACGTTGCAGTGAAATTTTATTGGAGGAGAAGCATCAGCAACAGGAAACGATGAGACGGGAGAACAGAAGAGTACAAGCCATGTCTTGGGGTACGTGTAATGAAAAATAAAAAGAGGAAAGCGTTCGTATAAAGCGGAGATATTTTATCCGCGGTGTACACGAAGCGGATAATCTCTCTCGTCGTTTACAGGCGCAGACGATGTACCGCCACCGAAACCTTCCAGGCAACCGCAAAACACGACGGATCAATCTCAGCTAACCGCCGCAGCGCCTGTCTCGACATATATCGTTGCGCAAAATCCCGAGGTTCTTGCGCAACTTCTCAAGGATAATCAAACTAGGGGGGTATGTCCCTCCGTCTACACAACCCCTGCCTCGCCCTTCAATACCTTAGCCGTACAATTTCAAGACGAAGATCAAGTCTTAACCACCGCTTTAGTTTCAGATCTACCCTTTTTCGATCCAACCACTTCAGAACCATCCGCCTCTCATGACACCCATTCGGGAGATTCCACATTGTCCGACACTAATTTGGATTCCCTCGATTCCTCGGACACTCCTCTCATGTCTAGTCTTAACATTTCAGACGCGACACAAGCTCAATCCCCCGCTGCTAACCGAAAGCAGCAGAAGGTTAAAGAGATGCAAAATTTGTACGCGGTTAGTTCAAAAGTTGTTGGCAGCATTGCCGGGGATTTGTACTCTCCCGTGCAAAAATTCACAACGTCCGGTGCTATTCCAATAACAACTAGTGTAGTAGCTACTTGCGGCGAAATATATGGGCCTGTCGCTAATTTCACCCAAAGTTCCGCCATCGTTGGTAATCTTAGTCAAAGTCCCAGCGTAGGTGGTAATTTTGGTGAAAATCCTGGAAACTTTGGGCCGAGCAGCTTGAATAGTATCATAGGATTGAACAATCAGAATCAGTTGTCAAATTTCGGCCAATTCTCCGTTAACAACACGAGCCAAGCGTTTAACCAATCAACGGCGGTGAGCCAAAATTCTAATTGCATACAAAATCCTACGACTGCCGTCGTGTATCCCCGTATACCGGTTGTTACTTCGAGCAACCCTGCTATTTCTGCATCCAATGCGGAATGTTTGTACGGACCGGTGTTAAAATTCCGAGCGCAAAACATCCAAAACCAAAACGTAGTAACCGATTTGAAATCCGTAAACGTGTCTGTTGGAACTACCGTGGCCAATGTTAGAGGCAATTTAGCGCATACCTCGACTCCAGGACCTGCAAACCTGCAAACACGGCCTGCACACGTTCAGAATTATCAACATCAACAAATATATTCGAATATAAGTACAGCGACGCAGCAACCGATGTATATGGCGCAATCGCAGAATGTGCAAAACAATCAAAAACAAAATCCGATTCATCAATCTGTTTCTTACATACCGTCGCAACATACGAATCAACAAAATCAGGCAATCGGCGCTAATCCAATTTACACGGCGCAAGCGACTTCTGTTACGGTCGTGCAAGCTCAGAAGGTTCAAGGTCCTGTATATGTGCAACAAATTCAAGCTGGAATTACGAGCCATGTGCCGAGTTGCCAACCGATGAACGTGAATCAGCAACAATTGTCTTTTGAAATAGCACAAAGTCATCCCATTCAAGTGCATTTCGCCACGTCGGGTGGCACGGTCCAACCAACCAGCCAGCAACACCTTCTTCCGAGCACATCTAACATTGTAATCGGTCAACAATCAACTTCCATTACTGCCACGCAACATGGTCAAGCGCAATGCAACGTAGCGAATCTGCCAATTACTGCTGCAACAAACGCAACGCAATATTTAGTGCAGCCAATGGTACAATCGGGGATGATAAGATCTACTACACCTCAAATAGCAACCGGTGTTGCAAAGATCACTACATTCGTAAATCAAAAGCAAGATGAACAACTGACAAGCTCGACAGATGGCACACTCTCTGGATCACTGATATCTTCTGCAGTCAGTGATAGCACAATGTCATCGAGCAGCTCGATGACAGAGGAGGCACAACAAGATCAGGTTTGGCAACGCCTCCTAGGAATGAAAATCGCATCCTTTATCTGCAACAGCATATTGTTTTTATTTATAATTCGAAATTCTTGCAGCACCATACTTTTGTTGCAATTCAAATATATATATATATATATTTATATATAATATAGACAATATACAATACATATATATTCATACATATACATACATATATACATACATACATATACATGTATATATACAATGTATATTGCTTTGGTATATGCAGTTGCGTTTACACATTAGTTTGTTTAAATTTACACAATGGCCCTTTTCTTTCATTTTATACATAACTAGATAGTACTTTTTATTCATAACTGAATTTTATTTTGCAGTTTTGATAGGCTAATCTGTTTGCATGATGAATGGAGATAATATTATCATTATAACAATCTGAGCTGCATGTAATTATAATTGCACTATTATTGTTCTGAAATTGGTTTTGCATCAAGAATTATGCATCTCTTTAATTTTATTATGTACATATGTTTATTAAACTCGTTGAAACAATGAATTATGATCACAACGTTTACGAACGAATCGAACGATAAAAATTGAAACGAATTTCTTTCTTTCAGAGGATCGTACAATCACAATTATTCGATAGCATCACGGAAAATTTCAGCAGTGGTATTGACGACGAGCAAAAATTATTAGAACAACGACTTTTAGAACAGCAACGTCAATCGGAAGAAGACAGTCGTTGGTTAGCGAGAGAAGAGGTGCGATTAATTACTTGCATCTTTTATATTTACGATGAATAATTTGCTTCAATATTTTCTTTAAAAATCTTTATCTCGACACTTAGAAACGTCTCTCTATTGCGACGAGCGGAGATGAAAGCGCGAGTCCTCCAGTTCCACGTTCGGTTACTCAATCACCAAGTCATGAACAGCACGGCGCTAATACTGGTTCTATAGGATCTGATAAAAGTACCGAAAAAGTAATCGTTGTAAAGGTAATTTTTTTAATTAGAAGAATAATTTTTTAAATCACGAATAAAATTATAAAAAGAATGTTTATTTTATAGAAAATGGAACCAACACCAACTGCCGATCTAGATAGGACGAACGATAAAGTATATGATTGTACCACTAGCGTAGTTCGTGCTGTAATGTCTTTGTCTCAAGGTATATATTATTATCTTTAATGTTTTGTAAATTTGAATAATTTTAATAATATTTTAATAATGTTGCAAACAAGGTGTTCAACAAAGCAAGGCTGATCAATATTTAGAATTAGTACGTAAAGTGGGTATTGAATTGAGAGCGTTACTTTCATCTGTCGATGCTTTGATGGATATATTACCTATATCTGCTCATCGAGAAGTAGAAATGGCGCATAAAGTTCTTAGTAAAGACATGGCAGAACTTGTAACAGCTATGAAACAAGCTCAAAAATATAGTGCTACTACGTTAGATGCTGAATACCGAAAGTAAGTCCTTCTTTCAATGCATATTATTAGCTTATCGTCATATAAGTTTCAAGAAAAATCTAATGTAATTTCAGAGGGATGCTCTCAGCGGCTCACATTTTAGCAATGGATGCGAAAAATCTTTTAGATGTAATCGATTCGATACGTATTCGTTATCCATATGTAGATAATCAGATTTGCCAAAATCAAAATCATATTAATACTTCACAAGAATCGATGTCGGAAAATCGTATTCGTTCCAGTCAATCTGGAGAACAATTTTTAAGGAGAAGTCAATCGAGCGAACGTCAAGGTACTACGTTTAGACAGAGTCAAAGCGGTGATCTTTTACATAGAATGGGTCAATCCGTCGATCGTTCATTGCAGGTAAATCATGTCTCTCGAAATAAATTTTATATAATGTAATTTTATATAAAATTTGTTATACGATATAATTGTATTCAAAAATTATTGTAATAAATTTTCAAAATTGTAATTATATATAATTTATATAATTTTCTAGGGTAGTCAAACTGATGTCAGTAGCGGCTCTAGTTTAGAAAGAAGGCATCATATCGTTACTAATAGTCTTGAACGTAATTCGACAACAAGAAGACAAATGACGACAAATAGTTTAGAAAGAAAAAGACCATCATTGTCTTGTAATATTAGTCCCATGAATAATTCGGTTAATTTACCACCAATGGTACCAGTTACCTGCAATTTAGTCCAAACAGTTGGACCTGTTATTCATCCGAGTCAAACAGTTACAACAGGTATTAATCAACAGTCAGTGTTTACAACTAATAATAAAACAAACGAAAATGCAACAACTGATAGCTAACAACGAGGTGCCTTGCATTAAGGTATAAGTAATAATATCAAGTTTTTTATTGCATGAATTTATACAAAATTTCTCATACTCGTTACTCAATCATATTTTTTATTTATTAATTTCAGGAAAACTTCGAAATAATAATTATATGTATATAGTCTACATCGTACAAGTTACCCATTTACATCTTACACATAACTCAGCAGCAAGAGATTTAATATTTATGCTTTCTAGCTCTTTTTAACATTTAATAAACTTTGTCTAAACGTACTTATAGATAAGGCAGTATTCGTTAGAAATGTAGTATTAGGATTATCACGAAAAAGCATAAGTCACAGCTGAAAAGAAATCACTCCAAAGTTTTAGAATTATTATTAATTTGTTATTATATAATAATCATGTGTGAATTGGGTGATGCAAAAGATAGCCTTGAATTTAAAAAATTATAAACATAAATAATTTTTATTGATATCAGACACAACGTTTATATGAAATTAAATATTTAAATTTTATTGCATATTATAATATTATTAAAAATTAATTATAAAAAGATTATCATTATTATATCTATAATCTATCGCTTTAAAGATTGTCTTATTGTATCACCCAGTATATAGTTGAATAATTCTATATATATATACACAAATATAGATATTTATAAATATATATTTAAATTAATAGTTCAAAATATTTTATGCAAAAAATTTAATTTCACATAGGATACAATTTTACAAAATTATTTTTACGAATTTATAATTTATAATAGTCTATTTCCTGCTAAAAGGAGTGATTATAATTGTAAAAAATGGGACTGAATGTTATTTCTATTAGGTAATTATTTTGTAATTCATATCGATTTGTGAAATTTATATAAAATGTTTTATAAAAAATCATGAATCATTCTTCAGCGGCAAGTCAGTTCCTATAAAATATTTATACAAATTTCACCATTGCATAAGAATAGTATTGATAACTTGTCAATATAATGCGCTTATAACGGCAGTGCATTTACAAATCTATTAAATATTCCATAAATTAAGTATTCCATTTTTATACATTTATTTTTTTACATTCCTGGGAGGAAATTTAGTTTCATATTGGATTAAAATTATTATCCATGATGTTTGACTGATTTTTACATTGCTCATTACTTTACAACAACTATAGTTTTGAATACTAATGTGCCAAGGCGTATTTATATGTACAATATGAACAAATTTTATTATTGATTATACATATACAATAATACATTTTAATGTAACATCCCAGGAATTTGTAATTTACGATTACAATGTTCGACACTGCTATTGCATCGAAAATATAAGATACTTTTCTTTAGATTTACTTTAATTGTATATAAATAAATATTCAAAATTTCTATCATTTAATAATAATATTAATTATTATTAATTATTGGGTTACAAGTATTATTTCTAGTAAATATTATTTTTCACATATATTTTTACTATATTCAATTTTTTTTTTTTTTTTTCCATAAATTGTAGTCACTTATTTATTAGAATTCTATTGAAATATTCAAAAGTTTTCAATCCTATATCTTTCATGATGCATGTTTATGTCATCTTCAATATTGTAATAGTATAAAGTATATATTTTGTTTTATAATTCTTCTTTATACACAATAGTAATAGTTTTTAAGTATGCCATGACGAATATTACAATATATGATGATGTAATAAAATTAAAATATTGTTAGAAAAGAAACTTTTTTCTTTATAAAACACATGCTGGATAATTTAAAAAATTGTATATGTGACAAATTTTATTAATAAGCCGATTATATGTTATAAATTTTTCAATTGTCATTCAATAAATTTACTGGATTATTTGTTATACACACACAAGCATACGCACGCACACATAAATCAACTTAAAAATAATAAAAGTTTAATTTATTTTAGTTTTTTTATAGCTAAATATCTTCCACGATCATACAAGATTTCGTAATTTGTATAACGAAATAATAAATATATAAACTATTTATAATTGTTAGTATATATAAAGATAGTTGTAATTTTTTTTTTTTTTTTAAGAAAAAGGATAAAATAACTACTGAAATGAAAATATTCTAGCATCATTGAATCAATTACTATTATCAATTAAGTAATAAAAATTAAGATACAATATTTAAAAAATATTTATAAAATTGTGTAAATGTAACTATGTATTATTACTACGGGCAAAATAATAAATAGTAAGATGATTTCAGCATTATGAATACTTTTAAGATTGTTACATAATAGCATAATATCAACAATAACAGGTCAGCATCAACATATTCACATTATTGTATAAATTTTAATAGAAATGCGTCCATTTAATTAATAATCATAGCATAGTATTGATATTTCTTTGTGCCATTTTGACAACAAGTATTTATTTATTTTATTTAATTACGCGTAAGGCGAACTAATAATGAGCCAATTGTAATTCTTTGTCTGCTTTGTAGAAAAACTTTTCTTTATACTTAAAAAAAACTCCTATCACATTATCAACAAAGTATTCCTTATTGCTTACAAATTATATTTCATGTATTTAATTTCACTGACTATAATTTAGTAATATCTAGTCTACTTATATCAACTAATTATAAATCAACTAATTAAAAGTAGAAATAATATTTAACAATGGTACAATAGAAATAATAACTTTTCAGAAGAAAAAAAGGAAACAGTTTTAACTGAAAACTAAACTCTTGGAAAGAAAAAAGTTAAAAGCTTGAATTATGGCATTGTATCATTGTATTATTAAATGATTTTTACTTAACTATTTACCATATTTTGAACTGTAATATTTAATACCATTAATAATTGAACACCTAGCATATTTAGTTAGAAGAGCATTAACATTCATTTTATTTGTTGTTAAATTTCTAAAACAGCAAGAAAAAATAATTTATAAAGAAAGAACAAAATTTATAATATTTTATAAATGTCTAATTTTTACCTACATTATATAAGGTGTTATTTCCTGAACTGTCCATTTATTTTTTGCTTTAAAAAGTTCATTAAATCTTTCATTAATATCTATTGGCAAATTAGCTTCTGTAAATGATACCACTTCTCTTGTCATTGTTGAATTATTCCATTTGATAAGAGCAATTCCTTTTAAATATTCTTCTTTTGGTTCCATTTCTATGTACAAACAAATATAATATAAACATATTTTATTATATAAATGTTAACTATAAATTTTTTTATATAACTTTCAATTTACTTTCTGGTGTGCCAATATTCCATGATTTCATAAATTGTTTATATTCAGTTATTGGAGAAACAGCAAGAAGTACTTTTGCTAAAGTCTTACAACATTTTTCCTCATTGTACCTTATAACATTATAACTTATAATAAATTAATAATTTTTATTAATATATGTATAAAATTATGTTTACCTATATAATGATGTTCCATCCTTTTTTGACTTTTCACTTACTTGTGTATATCTTGCAAACATAGCATCAAAAACTGATTTAAAAATAAATTCTTTCAAAGATTCATATGTAAATTCTTTATCTACTTCATTTAATGCCCAACTATTTTCTTCCAAAATATCTAACATAAGTGTTAAACTTCGAACTTCAAATTCAAATGATATTAGACGAAAGTAACCTTAAAATTAAAATATAGAATATGATTATTTAAAATATTAAATATGTTAATTACTATATTATTATTTGATATCAATTATATTAATTTTATAAGAAAATATAATACCATCAATATTAACTATTAAATAATCATTTAAAGCTTGAATTAGTTCATCTTCACTGGCTTGTATTTCATTTTGTAATCTATGCCAATTATATAAAAGTTCATGATTTATTGATGATTCATATTCCATTCCTTTAAAAGATGTGGGTTCAAGTATACTAAGTAATTTTTCCCATTTAGGCTTACATTCTTTTGTCTAAAATATTTTAAACACTTATTCATAAATATATATTTTTATAAACATTTGTTTATTTTGAAATTTTCCTACCTCATAATATGTATGAAAAATTCCACAAACATTATAATATTTTATTATTCGATCTGTATTTACATTTATTTGTTCAGATAAATTTAATTTTGGTACTAATAAACAAGAGTTAGATGTTCCTGCTTCTCTAATATCATATGTTCGATTTCTTGTACATAATACTGCAAAATCTTTTTTATTACCCTGAAATGTTAAACTAAAATAATGCAAATAATATTAAATCATTATTAAAAAATTGACAAATTTAAATGGATATATATACCTGTCTCCTTTATTTATTGCCTCTATTAAATGTTCATCAAGTTCTAATAATTTTATATGTTTTTCTGTAGTTTTCTTTATATGTTCTTGTGTAGAATATAAAATTTGCGTTACATTCCGCAAATCAGATTCCTTAATAACAGCTAATTCTAAACTTTTATGTACTTCTTCTATTGTTCTCGAATACCTATAAAAATAAAAATTAAAATATATCAAATAAATATATTATAAATATATTAAATATATTTATTCAATATTTATTTGCACATTAAATTTTATGAAAATATTTTGTTACCTAGTCTTTGCAGTTTCCATTATATGAAATTTGAAAAGATTACACGATAAAATAAAATTATAAGTTATAGAAAGATAAATATTTTCATTTAAATTACTATATATATTTCACATATAAATATAATATAAAAAGTTATATTAAATTTTTTTAGATAAACTTCTTTACCCGCCAATCTTTATCCAATCGTAGAATAAATTAAACTGAAGATGGAGAAGTAGTTTCGATTTATCGAGAACTACTTACAATATCACCAGCAGCCATATTAATTGCCATTGCGCTTATTAAGAAACTTTATTGTGATCAAAAAGTCTGAATTTATACAATTTTCTTTTTCGTTGAGGTATGTACGATATTGATCTGAAGCAAAATAAAGTTGTAATTATTTTCATAAAAAAAGTTAAAATTATGAACGTAAATTATGTTCTGAATACAATTTATATTGCTTGTTTTCTATTTTATGCCTGATTACTTTCTAGTACTACTTTTTTAATAATACATTTTGATAATATATTTACTTTCCACTATTCATTAATTGTGTTAATGCATATTAATATTGGACTCGTTATGAAATATTATTATTTAACGTGCAAAAGAAATTTTTCATCTGAATAAATAATGGAACAAAAATCAACTTTAAGTAATCCAAATTAAGAGATATATCAACAAGATACAATGATAGTTTAATAAAAACTATTCTCTTCAATTATAATCGAAAATATTGATTTAAAAATGATTTAAAATGTTCTAAAGTATATATTATATTTCTTATGTATTATTTATTATAATTAATGATTTAATGTCATTTAATGATGATATTCTTTTTAGAAATATAAGTATCCTATAGGACACAAACATGTCAAATGATGTGAACACCCAAGCTGATAAGGTATGTTTTATTTAAAATATCATGCATGCTATATTTTTTTATAACAGTTGGGATATGTGAAGTGTATTTGAAGAAATATATGTGCTGTTACAATTGGGCTGCTATCATAACTGCAATTTTATTAATTCTTCTAATTGGAAAACAGGAAAATTATAGTAAACAGTTTGTTGATTAATGCTAATTTTTCTTTGGATCAAGCCCAATGAGGACGAAAATATCGATAAAGCAGAAGAAGAAGAAGGCACTTCGTCTATTGATCTGCATGCGGTACCTATTTCTGCAAATTAAAATTTTGCTGCTTAATGATCTTTTTCTGTTTTTTATATTCCTTGTCTTTCATTACTAACAGTAGGATAGTTGTATGGTAGTTAAAATATTAACTCAACATATAATAATAAATATAATACAATATAATGTATAAGTTTTGGGATAAATTTTTAGCAGGAAAGTGGAATTATATACGGAGGTTGTGAAGGACCAAATGCAATGTATGTAAAACTTGTTAGCAGTGATGGACATGAATTTATTGTTAAACGTGAACATGCTTTAACTAGTGGAACAATAAAAGCAATGTTAAGTGGTCCTGGACAGTTTGCAGAAAATGAAGCTAATGAAGTTAATTTTCGAGAAATTCCGTAAGTTTTTTTTTTATTTCAATTTCAATAAAATTATTATATTCACAAAAAATAAAGAGATAAAAGAATTATTTATATTTTTTATTTACAGATCTCATGTATTACAAAAAGTTTGCATGTATTTTACCTACAAAGTACGCTATACAAATAGCAGCACAGAAATACCAGAATTTCCTATAGCACCAGAAATTGCATTAGAATTATTGATGGCTGGAAATTTTTTAGATTGTTAAATGTATCGAATGATATTAATAAGCAATCAGTTTTGAGCAGTCAGTATAATAAAATTATTTATCATAATTTTAACATCAAAAATTCAATTATATTATGACATATATTAAAAAATAATTCATTTTGTATTTTGCAATATAGTTTAATATTATTTTAACAATAAATTATCTAAATTGTTTAAATTTTATAAATTTTATTTACAAACAAATTTAAAAATATATATCTGATAAATGCTTAAAATATATATATAAATAATAGAGAAATTTCAATTAATCAATGTGATCTAAATTTATTGCATGTGCTACTTGATTAACTATATATCCAATAATATAACAAATTATTATATTTAAACAAAATTTATATTAGAAAATAATATACTGATGTAATATGAATTGTATATTCATGACTGATACATAACTATAAACAAAAAAAAATTGCATCATGTACAATTAATATAGGATTTAATCAATAGATTATATAACAATGGAGATTGTTATTTTTGAAATGGTGTCTATATTAATACATTATAGTTATATTTTTTATTATATATAAGAATATTTATTTTTGATTTCTATTCAAATTACAAATTTTACTTCTTATTTATTATTTTCTGGCAACTTTAATCATGTTTCATATTTCCCATGTAGAAAATAATTAACATACATTTATAAATAAAATATAATATGTAGTATATAGAAATATATTATGTGATATAGTGTAAGAAAAAAAACACAAACACATTTTTACAGAATCTTTATAAAAAAAATGTGTGTGTATCTGTGTGAGACTGTATTCTAATATAATTAATTATATAAATTAAAATTAATAATTGTTTTTATTTCTTACCTTTTTTATAACAAAAAATATAATTTTAATTTCATTAATATACATTTCTTATTTAAATAATTAAATGATACAATATTTAACTTAATTGTATATTTCTACCTTGATAGATTACAATTTTATTTATTTTTTGTATCTTTTTCAATATCCTTAAATTTTGCTTCTAATCGTTTTGAATATGCTGCTAATTTATATGCAGCTTGTTCTAGTTTAGTTACACTATCGTCAATTTCATTGATATTATCTAAAATTGGTTGTAATTTTTTATATTTTTCGTTTAAAGAATCCAAAGATTGGGCTACACTAGATGATATTGTTTTTAATTCTGTATACTTCGCAATAGTTTCTTTATTTAATCGTTCTAGTAAACGATAATCAGCATGGGTAGCGGTAAGTTCTTCTTGTAAATATTCTCCAGTTTTTTGAAACATCGTATTAGCTAAACGACTAAGATTGGGATCATGAGGATCCAATGCTTCAAAGCTACTTGTACTTGTCGAAAGAGTAGTTCCACGTTTTGGCGATTCACATCTTAAATTATGATCTGCTGAATTTTCCAAAAAAGGTGATTCACTTTCAATGTCTTCTCTTAATGGATCTTTGACAGATGTCATTGTCACAATAAATAATTATCTATTTAATAAAAAGTTATACAGTATATATAACTTTTCTTGTCTCACCAAGAAATATAATTCAGAACAAATGTCAAAATTATGGAAAATTAGTTGTTTTATTACGCTATCTATTATTTTTTGAACGAAACATTTTGCCGATAATACAGTAATTCTACTTGCTGATTGCCAATAAAATATTTCTATAAATATTTAAAATCACAGTTAATCACAGCTATCTTGTATGAATATTTTTTTAAAGTAAGTAAATATAGATAAAGAAAAAAAATAATGGAGAAAAGGTAAAGATAAAGTAAAAATTATGCATCTTCAGTATACCATACCATAAATAAAACATATATATATATATAAACAAGAAAAATTGATTATTCTTCTTGAATGCTTTATCTTATCATTATTTATATCTTGAGACTATCAATTTTTATATTATTTTTATTTTTTTATTGTTTAATTCCCTTACTATATATTAGTTTAATCTATAGCACTTTAAAAATAGCACTGATTTCTAAATTTTGATCTTATCTCTATCTTTTTCTTTTTATTTTCTTTTTTTACTTATATTTGCTTTGTAAAACTTATGCGCTTAAAGAATATTCAAAATATTTCAATATTTTAATATTATTTTATTAATATGTAAATCATTTTTTTTTACAATTATAGGAACATATTCATTTTATGGCACAATAATTTAGTATATAAATTATCATTTAAAAGATAATGACTCATTAATTGTGACTATTAAATATAAATGTAAAATTTTTTTAAAATAAACATATTTATAATTAATTTTAAACATAAAATAAGTATTAAGTTTGGGCTTTGGTTTAAACTTTGGTAACCAGACACCACCATGGCTTTATGTTTAAAATAATTAAATATATAAATAAAATATTCTTCTTGAAATATTTTATATTTTCTCATAAGAAATATTTCAATATTTATGAAGATTTATATCCATTTGGATTATTTTGTTGCCATCTCCATGTATCTAAACCTAAATAAATATATTAAAATAATTAATTGTAAATTATTAATTTCTATTTGAGAAATTGTAATTCTTCATGTATTATTGAAAGAATTACTTACACATATTGTCTATATTTTTAGTAGCCTGCCAACCTAGTTCTTTATTAGCTAAACTAGCATCTGCATAACTTACGGAAATATCACCTGATCTGCGTTCGATTATCTTATATGGTATATTTCGTCCTGATGCTTTTTCAAATGCTCGTATAACTTCTAGTACTGAATATCCTTTGCCAGTACCTAAATTAAACACTTTAAATCCTGTAAAATTATGAATTTTTTGATAAATCATTGCTTTTACATGGCCTACAGCTAAATCCGTAATGTGAATATAATCTCGTACGCCTATAAATTAAGTAATAAGCATAAATTAATACATAAATTATAATGATTTTACATAAATATTTTTTTATTTTTGATACTTACCTGTTCCATCAGGAGTATCATAATCATTCCCATAAACATATAAAATTTCTCTTTTTCCTACAGATACCTGAGCAATATATGGCATTAAATTATTTGGTATTCCATTAGGATCTTCTCCAATTAATCCAGAAGAATGAGCTCCAACTGGATTAAAATATCTCAAAGATATAACAGACCATGCCTGAAATGAGTTCCAACTTAATTAAAATATCTTAAAAATATAATAAATTATTACTTTCTACAATAAATATTTTATTGTGATATGTAAAAAAATGAAAACCAAAATCGTCACCTTATCTGAAATGCATAGATCTTTCAAAATTTCTTCAACCATATATTTTGTTTTTCCATAAGGATTAGTACAATCACCAGTTTTCATATCTTCAACTAATGGTAGTTTTTCTGGAATGCCATAAACTGTGGCACTACTTGAATAAATAAAACATTTCACATTGAATTCTTTCATAACTTTTAATAAATTCAATGTTCCACAAACATTTGTTTTATAATACTCTAAGGGTTTTTCACAAGATTCACCCACAGCTTTTAAAGCAGCAAAATGTATAACAGAATGAAACTTGTACTGAAATAAGATTATTTTAATCATTTTAATTATAATATTTATTCTTAATAATATTATACCTTTTCAAATATTTTTTGTAATTCATCCAAATTTGTTACATCGCATTGAACAAATATAATTTTTCTATTTGTTAATTTTTCTATTCGTAATAAACATTCTGGTTTTATATCATTATTTCCTGTATACAAATATAATATAATTATTATTTATTTTCAATTCAATTAAAAAAAAACTACTTATTTTCATATATATATATTAGTATATAATATACAATTAAGTTCTATAATTATCAATATTATGTTTTATATATATTCATAAAATTACTAATTCATTAAATTATTATTGATCAACTATATTAATTATATTATTTATATTAATTAATTGATATTTTTTTAAAGTCATTATTACTTTTTATTAGAATGCACATGAGTTATTATTTATAAAATGAGTTATGAGTTATATTTATAAAAATAATACTATAAGGAATAATCATTATTTTTGAACTTGATTCGTTATTTCTTACCTTTATAAGCATTACTAAGGTTGTCTATTACCACCACCTCAAAATCTGCTTGTAATAATTCCAATACTGTATGAGAACCAATGTACCCAGCACCCCCCGTCACCAGTACATTCCAGGATTTGTTTGTCATTATTTCACTCTGTTTTTCTGTTATTTTTAATACAATATTCTACAGTTATTGTGCTCTTACTATTAGAAGGGGACTACCTTTGATATGTACATATTACATAGGCAAAATCATATTAATGCAGTATCAGATAAAAATAATAATATTGAATAACTAAATACTAATCATTTTTAAATATTTTATGACTTTATAAAAGAAACATATAAATTATTTAGAATGACTGCATTTATTTAATATTAGAGATCTATACTACACAGTAAATATTTAACAAAAATAATTTTTACCTTTGCCACATACATTCAAAAATAATGTATATAGATATATATATGTAATTTATATAATTAAAAAGAAACTTTATCATAACATTAACTACATATATATATTAAAATTATATTAATAAAAATAAAATTACCATTATATCTTATATCTCTATAACACGAGTAATTAACCTTATTTTCCAATCGCTAAAGGATTTTATATTTAAAGTAAAATAAACATGATAAAAAGTTGTGTACATTAAATGATAATTTAAATTACACAATACAGATATATCATTATCAGCGTTAATATCAAATTACAATACAAGATATTAAATTAATATTAAAAAAATCCGTAAATTTCATTTCGATATTCGTCAATTTAAACTTAAATAAATTTATATACATAATATATAAATAATATAATATAGCAATTTATATACAAATCTATATATGTGCAAATCAAATACTGATATTTTTATAAATAATTTCTTTATCATAGATTTAGCATATCATATAATTAATATGATATGTAAAGTATGAGCTAATATTTTAATTTTATACAATAGTCAAAGTCAATAAAAATTTATTTTATAGAAAAAAAAGAATATATTCAATTTATATAAAAAAAACTCACTTGAAAATTTATAAATTTTACATAAGCTGCAAAAATACAGTAATAATTTACTATAATTTTTAATACAATAATTCAAACTAACAAATTTCACAATGAAAAAATAATTAGGCAAAAGAGTTTCACATGATTGAACCGTCTGAATTACATTTTAAACTACTTTTATTTTACATAATTTTAATTTTATCAGTTATCTATTTTTCAAGTAAAGTTGGGCACGTGTAAAAAAAAATGGTCATGGAATGTCGATTGTTGATTAATAATGAGTTTTTAGATAAGTGATATCATTCGCATATATTTTTACATTTATGTTTATTTAATTTTAAATTGAATTTAACTTTTGATAAAATTTTTTAATTAAAATTATATAATTAATTTTTTAGAGATATGAATAAACAACTTATCATGTTAATAAAGAAATATATATATTGTGCTAAGTGTTATATATATTACTGAATTTATATATGAAAGAATTTTCTTTATACATGAAAAGATTGTTTAAATTTTATTTTATTTATAATATAAAAATATGAACTGTTTATTTATATAAGTATATATAATATATAATAATTTTTTTAAAACATTTATTATATTTATGTACAATATATTTTATTTTAAAGGAAAGATATTTTATTTGTATAATATATAAAAAATTAACAAAATTTTTTTTATTTATAAATTTATTTAAATATTTCAGTATATTTAAAAGTATTATATATATTTAAAATTATTTGATGTAATAAAATTCTTCTATTTAAAAATTTATTACATAAATAAATATCATTGTTAACCTCTTCAACAATGATCGCATATATGCATTCGACGATCAGTTAATTTATTCGAAAGTTATCGATTAAAAATTAGCGATCGATCGCGTATTTATTCAACATTTGTTAATTGAAATCGACAATTGTATCAAATGAAATAAGAAAATGTTTTTTTACTTATAAATACAATAAATTCACATTTTCATATCATAAATAACAAAATATTTAAATAACAAGTTTTTGTATAATATAAGTCTAGATTTAATTAAGATAGTATCTGAAGTATTAATATAACTCATTGTATATTTTGTTAATTTTATTATTTAAATATAAATATTTGAAATTAATAATTAATAAAATAATAATTTTATTTTAAGTATAATAGTATATTAAGATTTTAAGTATAATAACGGAATGATGAGCAACATCTGTATTTTTTAATGATTTTTTTTAATAATAAAAAAATAAAATATATAAATTTAATGATGATTAAAAATTTTAATTTTGATATATTATTTATTATATAATTAAATTATATAATATTTATATAATCATATATAATACAACAGAAAAGTTAGTAAATTAATTTATTTATAATTAAATGAATTCTTCCATGAATCTGTAACAAATATTAATAATTAATTTTAATTATTTGTGAATATATATAAAAATATATCAATATATTGTATATAAATCAGATATATTGTATATTGTATATAAATATACAGATTCATACAATATATACTTTATTAAACTTTAAATAAATTTAACATGTGAATACATTTGAAAGTAAAACTCTCGAGAATTGTTTTCACACAAATAGATATTATCAAATAATAAAAATTACCGTTGGAGAGTCAATTCAACGAAACACTTGTAAGTAATAATATATTACTAATTATATACATAATCTTGAAAATAATTTTTAAGAATTTTATTCTCAAATTTATTCATATATAATAATTTTAGTATACATTAATATACATTGTGTATGCACTATCTACAATATACATAATTATTTATGTTAAATTTTTAATAATAATAAAAATATTAAAAATTTGTTGTTAGATATTAAATAAAATTATTTATGATTGTAACTTTATTTATATTTAATATATTTGATGTATATATATCGTTTATTATTTAAAATAATTTACAATAATGAGAAGAAAAAACTAATTAGATAACTTTATGTAATATATTTATATATATATTATATATATATTAAAATATTTTACATATATAATACTAAATATTTTATTATATTAATAATTTAATGATAAAAAAATATTTTCTATATTTACATGTTTTTTTTTTTCATAGATGACGGATTTCATTTTCTTAAAGGGATGAATCGAAACTTCGAGAAACATCTATTGAACTGTACCTCTTATACTTTAAAATACTATTCCTTTCTATACTTCCTACGAGTAAAACATAACATAAAACATGTTAAGTCCCCTCTTTAAAGAAGTTGGTCCAATCAGCAGTTGTCTTCAAGTTCCCGCGCGTGAACCTTAAAGCCCTAGTGTCTACATTCGTTTCTCCTAAGTTATAACTTAGAATGTTATAGTGGACGATTTTTACGCAATTATTTTTAAGACCGTTTTATTTATTATAATACATAATGTTATTATATACAAGAAATATTCTATGAGATTATGTAATTTAATACAGATATTCTTTAGACAATTGATAATTATAACATAAACAATAAATACAATTGAAAAAAATAAGATTAATTAAATTATTCTTTTTTTTTCGAATATTAGAAATTACCAAGTAGAAAGACCAACATGTAATAAATTAAATCAAATAAGACAAGAAAGTTTATATCTATCAATTTACGTAGTTATGAACGTAGTTAGATTTCATTGGAATTCCCCACCTGATGTTACGGCACTGTGCCTCGTGAAATGCGGCGGTCCCGCATCAAGAAAAACAGGGCCCGGTTAAGTGCATTACTCTTGGGAGTGTAATATCGTTGTACTATCTCAGAATTTTGTAACAAAACTAAGTATTTATACGACGAAAATTTAGGAGCCATATTTTTATTCTTTTGCAGAACTATGTGTTTGTGTTTTAATCCGGTTATTAGTAATTGGAATATGAACATATCACAAGATTATCCAGAATTATTGTGTGAAGCGAGAATGTCGATTCTTTAAAACTGTGATGAAAGCAAGGTTATTTGCGACTATGAATATGGAATTTATTCAATATGTTCAAAGAATTCGATAATAAAAAGTTTATTTGATTATTTGAATATTTGTGAATTACAATTTTTTAAAGTGAAAAGATATTGAACTGAATCGATGCATAAGACGCCATAAGCAAAAAACGGAGAAGATAATAAATTTTAGATAAAGAAAAAAGTAAGTAATATTTCAAATAAATTAAACAGTAAACAAAGATCATAAGAAAAAGAAGAGAATCAAAAGAAAGAAGGAAACAAAAGAAACAAAAAGTTTAAAAGAAAGAAAATAGAAAGTTTGGTGGACGACAAGGTAAGACTTGAAGAGGTAAGGCATATAATACCGCGTGGGCTACCTCTTAAGTAGTAAATCCAATCTTGAGAGAGAGAGAAGAGAGAGAGAGAGAGAGATCAAGAGAGCAAGAAAAAAGAGAAGGAGAGACCGTACAGTGACCTAGATTTTACCAGGTCGAAGGCAGATCGGTACAAAGAAGTTACGGTAGACTTTCTGAAATGGGACGCAGCGCAGCCTGGAGCTAAATTAGCCGCAATGTCTAATAAGAGTAAGTCCCAGCCGCAGCAGCAGCATCCTTCGCACGTGATCAAGTCGACAGTGGAGCAAGTGCCACCGCGATATCAGCCACCACCACAACCAACCAGTGGTATCCTCAAGAATCATCCTTACTTTGGTACAAGCCCTTCCGTACCAACCTCGGTATCTACCGGTCAGGGTCCTATCACAACTTTGAATCATCATCAAACTGTGCAATCATCACGATCTGTGCCGCAACAGAAGGATGCGCAAAGCAAATATTCACCGAGGATAGAACATCGACATCATCCTCAAAGCGGAAGCACTTTGACTGCATCAGTTTCGAAAACGCAACCTCATAGTTATCTTCAAGCCAAGGTCGGCCAAGGTCAGTACCTGCCACCTAACGGTCAGTATCCTACGGTAAACACTGCACAAACACCGCCTCTCAGACAAAGGATCACCGACGACGAGTTTCTTAGGCTGGGACCTGTGGAGATGCTCAAATTTGTTCGCAAGACCGAAAACGATATCGCAAGGCTCGCCGCTGAGCAGAATAGACAGATACAAAATTTGGTGAGTTTCATTGATTTCTCACCCGTTTTTTAATGAAGTAAATTATTTTAAGTGTTAATGCGATATAAGTAAAATATAGTTAAAATCTATTTATACATCGATGAGAGAAAAAATAAATGAAAGAAAGAGTAAGAATAATCGTAAAACTAATTATAGTTTTTTTTTTCTACTGATACTATGATACATCTGTTTTATTACTTAATTTTACGAAAAATATGTGATCATGGATTTTAAGCACGTCACACGGAAGTTTTTGAGGCACTTTTAGGTCACACGAGTTGAGTCCACCATCGTAATTTCAACCAGTCACGCACATGTGAGTCCAATCGCGAATGATTGCTATTACGATCGGATTCTTTTTCACTGAAAAATTATCAGTCGAAAATAAATACATATATTTTAAAAATTAAAAATTTTGTAAAATTTATTTTTTTCTTATTAATTTATGATAGAAGAACTTTTAATTTATGATAAAAATAGTATAAAAATGACGATTATTTACAAATTTCGTATTCTAGCTTAGCGAGCTTCGAGCATTAAAGGAGGCAAACCAAAGATTAAGCGATGATAATCAAGAACTACGAGATCTTTGTTGTTTTTTGGACGATGATCGTCAAAAAGGTCGAAAATTAGCGAGGGAATGGCAAAGATTTGGAAGATATACAGCGAGCGTTATGCGTCAAGAAGTATCCGCTTATCAAAATAAATTACGTCAATTAGATAATAAACAGCAAGAGTTGATCAAAGACAATCTAGAATTAAAGGAACTTTGCCTTTATTGGATGAAGAGAGAGGAGGTGGTCAAAGAGATGATGGAGATGGTTCAAGTTCAAGTACTAATGCTGAAGAAACAGCACCTCCAAGACCAAGGCATACATCTACCTTTAATGGTACACTTTATCGTATTTATTACTTCCGTTATCTTCAAAATATATATATTATTTTTATGTGAATATTTTCGATCAGATTTTTAAATTTACATTATAGACCAAACTATGCAATATGTAAGAAGTTTAGAACAGCGAGTAAAACAGCTCGAAGAAGATAAGAGTGTTTTACAAGCACGAGCGCAAGGATG